TCTCTTCTGTCTTCATTTCGTCCGTCTCATCTTTCTCACCCGAACCACCACCCACCCATTCCCACGATTCCTGAAAGCAGGCTGAAGAGGGCCTTCCGTCCTACCTTCCGACATGGTCCGGAGGGACTGCCCGCCCACCAGCATTACTGGCTGATGGGAATGAAACACCCAAAAGTTTTTCCTTTTTTCTAGTTTTAGGGTAATTAGCTCAGGATAGGAAAAAGTGTGTGCCCAACCGGTCTTAGAACTGTCGACCCTATGATTATAATGATGATGATTATAATAGCAACGTAGTGAAAGCCAATATATTAATAAATACATTAATTGTGAAACCATATGTACAAAAATTAACTGTTGAAACTATGAGAGAAAACTTTGATTTTAAAACAATATTCTTGTGAATATATGTAGATACGACAAGTATTGCCTGTTTTATTAATGAATTTACAGTTATCAGTTCAAATAAATTACTATAGTGGGTGTAAATCTATTGTGGAGATATATAATTTTATATACGACCTGCGGAGCTATGATTTCTTTCCCAAAAACGGCCCGCAAGATCATTTGGGTTGGTCATGCCTGACTTAATAGCTTACGTTATCACGTTTAGTTCCTTATTGTAAAGCATTTCGATATGATACATGGCACAAATAATGTAGAAAGTAATTCACACCAGTGCTCTGGATTTGTCAATAGGTCGTATATATGTAGGTCGCATATAAGAGTAGTTTTTGCTCCTAGGATTGTACTTTAAATTTTTATTCACCTTTTCTTTTATTCATCATCATCATCATAAGGTCATCAGTCCTAAGACTGGTTGGACACGTACCTCCACTCTTTCCTATCCTGAGCTAAACTTCGCATTTCCCTAAAACTAGAACAGCCCACATCCTTAACTATTTGCGAACAGTAATCTAATCTAGGTCTACCTCTACCCCTCCTAACTCCTGTTTCTGCCTCTAATATGTCTCTGACTAGACCTTCATGCCTGAGAAGGTGTCCTACCAACCTATCTCGCCTATTTTTTATTGACTTCCATAGAGTCCTCTGTTCTCCTATTCTTTCCAATACCTCTTCATTTCTAACCTTTTCTACCCACGATATCCTCATCATCCGCCTATAACACCACATTTCGAACGCTTCTAACCTTTTCTTTTCCGCCGCTCCCACTGTCCATGTTTCGCACCCGTACAACGCCGTGCTCCAAACATACACCTTTAACAACCTTTTTCGAATTTCTAAATTAACCGTTCGCGAGCATAGAAGTGACTTCTTTTTATTAAAGGCGACACGACCCTGCGCTATCCTCTGCTTTATATCCCTACTACTCCTTCCATCCTCACTTATCTGACTTCCTAGGTATCTAAAATCAGCCACTTCTTCTAATTTTTCGTCTCCTATCTTTATATTCGCTCTTTCCCTACTTTTCTTCCCTTGCATACCAGTATTTTAGTTTTACTTTTATTTATTTTCATACAGTACTGATTTGTCAGAACCGCTTCCATTTTATTTAAAGCTATCTCTCTATTTCTTTTATTATATTACTTTTATTCATAATTAGGAAGTTTTGCTTTTATCTTGCTGAATTTTTAATTTATCTTATTCCTTCAATATAACAGACTTTAAATAATGTATTAGAAGCTCACTTTGAAACATCCAGCTTTTAACATACCATGTTAAAGAGAAAGATTAATTTGCAATGCAAAACAGAAAATCTCTGTTTTAATTACAAGCCATTTCTAAGTTTTTCGGTACAATTTGTTTCTTCTTGTAAGTAGTTTTATCAGAATCCGTTCCTGAATTCGGTTAAGTTTTGAAAGTAAAGAAATTTGTATTCAGAGAGTTCTATCCGTAGAAAGAAATTAATTCTAATAGAATTTGCATAGTTGACTGATGTACAAAGATGTTAGTAACTAGTTCCAACATGCCTCGTGAAAAGTTGCTTTCACATTTACAAGCACTTAGTGTGATTATTTCGACATCTTTCGGTACAAAAAGATTGAGAGACTACGTTACTGAGTGTCAGAATTTTTTTTTTGAAATTACCGTTTCTTTGCTACATAAATGGGGAAAGGGGTGGCATGAAGGGATCGCGAGGTCAAACAAAAAAAAAACTTTTGGGTGTTTCATTCCCACCAGCCAGTAATGCTGGTGGGCGGGCAGTCCCTCCGGACTATGCCGGAAGGTAGAGCGGAAGGCCCTCTTCAGCCTGCTTTCAGGAATCGTGGGAATGGGTGGGTGGTGGTACGGGTGAGAAAGATGAGACGGACGAAATGAAGACAGAAGAGAGTGAAAGATTATCTGTGGAATATTACTGCCTCAGCATTTGCCTAGGTGATCCAAGGAAACCACAGAAAAACTTGGACCAAGACAGACGGACCCGGAATCGAACCGGCGTCCTCCCGAATGCTAAGCAATGGTCTAGACCTCTAGGCCATGCCGCTCGGTGAGGTCAAACAGGGATCCGCACACATACGAGAAACTAGACGTTCCTAAATAAAAAGCAATAAGCCAATAGAATGCCTCTTTCGAGCAACGCTCAGTGAGTGAGAGTGCACGCATCTTTTGTTTACAAACTGAAAATTGTTTTAACGTTTCGTTGATCTAATTTTGTGTAAGATCGAACGTCATTATTTTAAGGTAATTATGATAACCCCATTTATGTCACTTTATCTTTGTTTACTGGTGTTGTTTATTTTGATATGGTATGTTGTTTGTATGAATCCGTTAAACATTTTGTTAGCGAATTTTTTTTTTGTTAAAAGTTACCTTTTGAGGCAAGATGGGGTATTGGGTGGGGGCATTGGGGCAAAATGAAAAAGTCGGCCCATAGTATGGGGCAAGATGGTTTTTCATAATGTTCCTATTAGTGATTAATTATTATTATAACGTGTCATAAATTAATAAGTGTAATAAACATAGTGATTATGCCATATTTTTGTTATTTCCTTTAGCTACCCCATCATGTCCCCTTCCCTACTGATAAAAAATTATAGAAAGGCATATATAAAACATCCTTAAGCAAGACATGGAGAAACAATTGGAACCTATTGGTCATCAAATCTACATTAAATTCGCACTCACCGTAGATTTGATTAAAAATTCATGGGGCTCTTGTTGTATATACCGCAAGTATCTTAGATGTATTGAAAATATCAAACACAACTGCTGGAATTCGAAGTTGTCTAGAAAAATTGATCTTTGGTGGTTTAACTGAACCTAGCTATCATTAGGATTATGATTTGCGTCATCATTTATGAATAGTTGATAAATCAGGAAAGAAACAAATATCCGTAAAATGAAATTGAGTTATGTAATGTATTTATAATCCAAGATCCAGCCGTCAGACGTTACTTATTTTCTGAGTAACAAATTAGACGGGATAGAGTCGTGTTAGTATGTACTTTGAACGTATGCCGTCGGCCCAATTTAGCAGATATCAAGTGGACGTAAAAACATTACTCGCTTTACTTAAATTCGGAGTGCTAATTTATCCATAACTAGTGACCCGCCCCAGCTTCGCACGGGTACAATGCTGATACTAAATATATTTTTGTTTTGTTTAGATTATTATCAAAAAGGGGAAATCTTCAAAAGACACCCCCTGAACATACTAAATATACTACCGAATATCTTTATATACAACATTCTCGATTTTTTTTATGTCATTAGACATTTTGAATCTGTAATATCTTCGAAAATATTCATTTAAATTACATGCTGTAAAGGGCCATATTGATCTATATTAAATGCACAATGTATTTAAGGTACTTAATTGGACAAGAATTAATGCTGTATTGCCTACAATCGCTTCGTAAATCAGCCATTATTTCTCATAAAAAGTAAAGGATAAAAATGGTTATTGTGGGTTATCCCTAAGAGATAGACATATACCATCCCGGACTTTTTTGTAGACCCTTTTAAGATGTACAATATTGTAGTACATTATTTTGATCTATCTCGTAGGGTTCAGCCAGCGTTTGCAATGTAAACGCAAAAAATGTGTTTATTTACCACATCACATTAGAAACCTCTAAAATTATCAGTGTTTCCCTACTATATTATGTATGTGTTATACATATAAACCTTCCTCTTGAATCACTCTATCTTTAAAAAAAAACCGCATCAAAACCCGTTGCGTAGTTTTAAATATTTCAGCATACATAGGGACAGACAGCGGCAGTAATTATGAGCTATTTTTTGTGTAACTTATGCGTGCCTTTAGGATTTCTAAAATAACCTAATTTATTTCTAGATCATTACTTATTCGAGTAAACGGGGTGGCGTCAGTGTTAAAACTGAAAGGGAAGACGTTAGCAGAAGTGTTCTTCTTATCAGAAATGCACATTCATCTGATTCCGGTCTCTACACATGCAACCCTTCTAATGCTAGACCTTCCAACATCACCGTACACGTCCTTAATGGTAAGTAAATGCTGATAAGGAAATTTTGCTTCGTAAATTTCTTGTTTATGTTTTCACCAAATGGAGCAGTTGGATCTAATGCAGTAAAGGAAAATTTAGGTCATTTACATGAAATAATAATAAAAAAAAAACAATCGTGTGGTTTTATGAATCCACAATGCAAGTGAAACTTTTCGGATTGTAAGCATTTAACAGTAAATTTTCGGAAAATTATTCGATTTAGGGTATTAAAATTAAAATCGCGTTCATAATCTTATCTTAATGATTGGAAAATGGGAATGATAATGGGAAATCAATAGTAGACAAGATATCCAACTATAAGTTTTAATTTCAATCTGCGTATGAGAATATGGAATAGATAATTAATACAATCATTCAGATGATAGAAGCAAGTTAAAAACTGAGAACAATATTTATTATTTAAATCATTGAATCATTTTGAACTTCAGTTATTCTATCAATAATTTCATCTTCGCTTTCAGTTTCACAGTCTATAAATGTAATTGTCATGCACTTACACGAATGAGTGAGAATGTAAATGCTACACGGTTAGCTCATGCGAGCCGTGGGCGCCGTCATATTTTCCTTGGCTGCTCTGACGAGCGCCTTTCAGTTTTGCCCCTACTCCGCGGCCGGCTGTAATGCGACATGCGATAGATGCACGAAAAAAATTGAGGTGAAAATTGTAATAAAAGTTTTACTTTAAAAAGCAAATAAGTTATTATTAATAATCATTACAATATTAATGCAATGTAAACTCTATTTAGTGACTCTCGATTTAACGACAAACTCCTTAAAATGTCGAAATAACTTGAGTTTGGTTAGTTTACTTTATTGTCTGTACAATGATGCACTCTATATAGCACCACACCCACTGTAAATAACGGCGACAATACATGTAATAATATTATTATTTAGTATTACCTGTAGTATATTTCCGATTGGAATAGTTGGACATTTAGGAAATGTATAGATTTCCTAGAAAATGTGTCTAATATAATTTATGTCACACATTTCCAGTCGATTTTAGGAATTATATACATTTCCTAGGAATTTCACACATTTCCGGTAATATATAAGGCAAGGGTTCGTGCCACTCAACCACCGTAGCGGGCGATTTTCAGAGAAGAGATCGTATTGTCATTGTTAATAGTCTTTGTTATGAGTATTATTTTGAAATATTTTGGAAAGGAATTTGCTTCGGTTGTAAAATTTATTTATTTATTTGGGTACCTACAACATTTTGTAAACCATTGTTTGGTCACGTAGCTGTCCGACCAAGGGAAGTTGAACAACCCCAATTACGTTGTTACCCGATGTTATGCCATCCGCACCCCTCCGGTGTCATTTAATTTTGTACCATAGCAGTGAGATAATTTCAAGTATGTTGCATCAGTCATCAGTCAGTCTTCCGTCGTCTTAGTTATCAGTTCCGAGTAATTAGAAAAAAATAGTTTAGTAATCATAATCATCATTTTAGTAGTAAAGCATCATCAACATTTCGTCATTATCACCTTAATTTTAAGCTGTGTATATATTTTATATTAAATATTAATTAAATTCTACGAAGTGTTTTTCTTACAAAAAAAAAAATCTCAAAAGTAGAAAAGAAGTGGCACAACTGTGCAAAGCAAAATCGTACATAAGTCATGTTTAGACATCAAAAATATCTTCATTTTATTAATTTATATAGCCCATAAGTAATCTAATGAATAACAAAATAGCCTAATAATGACAAGAAAAGACACCTTAGATATCAAATTGATCATAACAATTTTAAGAAACATGAACATCGTCTTGCGTTGAGAATGCTCACAAGAGTAAATGAGTGAAACAAGTGTCCGCGTTTTTTAAAATTGTGGTGAATTTGGGTTAAGATTTTCCTTGTTTTTGCTATTTCAATCACCACAGCTTTGGTAAGTCACGCACGCGCGCGCACCCTGCAAGCCTCAAAATAGCCTGAGTAACAACCTCAGCCCCGCAGATCCATAACGAACAAGTGGGTTAGTGCAGAGTGCAGATACAAGTGTAAATAGAAGTTCAATATGAAAATGCGGACAAGGGCGGCTGCAATCGATACCGAATCAACATGAACTGCGAATCACGAAGCAATGACGTGGGCATCACTACACATACAATTGTTCCCGCGGAAATAAACGGGAAAAATTTGCGTATCCAAAAAAATAGGGAAAAAGCCAAAAAATACAATGAAACGGACTCAACCTTCCAATATATACGACACAGAAGTAGACTGAAAATAAGTTCAGTAACGAGAAAATTAAGAAACCTGTTAAGTATGATGACGTAGAGGCATATGAAAAAGTTATGGAAGTTCTAAACGAGACAAATGCAACAAACGATAACAAAAGAACAAAGGATGAGAGCGAAAAAAACAACTCAAAGCCTCAACAATAACAATAATACACCATCACAAGGAAATGACGCTGAAACAAGACAATAAAGTAATAACATAGACACAGTGCAAGATAACATAGACGAAATTCTGAACATGGCAAAAGATGAACACATGAAAGCACAAGAAGGCAGCATAAAATTGATAATAGCGCAAACCAAACTCGTAGCAGCAATTAAACATAAAAATTTATACGAAATTAACCTCGCCACCTTCGACATAATGTCAGCAGTAAACAGACTATGTTTCAACTAAAGGTGGTTCACTGCAACGTAAACGATCTCAGAAAGAGAATATCTGAGATAAAAAACATTAATTTCCGTAATAAAACCGAACATTATACTGTTAAACGAAATATTAGGTCCTGAAAACTGTAAAAGAAATATCACCTGCTACACGTTGCTAACGGATAAAACAGGAGAAGGATTAGGAACAAGAAGGTATGTTTCAAATGAACTAATCTGGAACAGAGAAAAAAATTACTACATAATAAAGAAATCCTAGAAGTAATGCACGGAGAAGGGCATTTTAACGTTACGAAGAAAAAGTAGAAGAGACGTGGAAGACTGGTGCAAAAAATGCCCTACATGCGCTACCAGTACGCAACCGAAGGCGAGAAGTAGTGGACGAATGCAGCAGTACAACGTAAGAGAATCTTTTGAGAGAATTGCCGTATTCCATCAGATTGGAGACAAAGTAAAGTATAACTGACGAGTTGGGTCTAATGACGGTGGTAAAGTGTGGCTATACAATACATCAAAACAATGGGAACGTTGTCAGAAACTACAACTGAGTAGCCGTAATACATGAACAACCCTTCAACAATTTGAGCCAAATGTGAAGCGCCTCGCAATGTTAACATACCTCTTTTCCCCCCCGGAGTTCATAGACCAACTGGCCACTCATTTATCGAAGGAGTTAGGATGATGAACTAGAGGCTGTCCTTAAGTGGCATGTCACAAGACTCCAAGTGAAGCATTATCCCATGCCTTAGAGCAGAGCCGGGCAAACTCGGCTCTTTTGACTTCCGAGTGCTCCTCAGGTATAGTCAAGGAGCTCCTCATTGCTCCTGCGAGTGCGAGTGAGATAATTCTTTCCTTTTCTTATCCTTTCCATTTCGTAGATGAGTCCCCTCTTCCATAGCCGAACCCAATAGTATTGCGAACGTAGTCCGGCATGCTACCCCTGAGCTGCGGGATGATCATCAGAAAATTTTTCGTAGGTATTATTTAAGTTGCAAGAGAGGCTTCGCTCGTCTACGGGATGAAGGGGCTTGATATGGGAGTGGAAAGAAGAAGAAAAAGAGAAAGCAATATGGGTCATTACTGTTTACTCTCTCGTACTTATTGAAGGGTATGGAGTGACCCAAACTAATCTCAGGTAGCAGCTCCTACGAAGTTAAGTTTGCCCGGCTCTTCTTCTTAGAGTTTGAAAGGGCAAAACAAGTAATTAAACGATCGGAATGTCTTAATCAATTAATTTCTTCTGCTTCTACTTAATCTAATAATTTACCTTTTGTAGCGTTATATAACTAGTGATTACAACCTAGGAAATATGACGCATAATTTGTTTGATCTATTAATAAAACCTCTTTCATGTTTACTAATTCGTTTGACGAAAGGCGTATCAGCTACAGAATACCGAAACAGCTGTAACGAGCTTTTGTGAACAGTTTAATTAATAAACGTGGCCTTTATTTCAATTTCCTTTTAGAAATAGATCTTAATTAAGATCACGAATATTAATCATTTATCGATGCGATGTTTGGAGTAGCATTCATCCACTTTAATGAATAGTCTAGTGGCATCCCTGATCTGGACCCATTAGATCATACACTTTAGACCAAGTTTCAAGCGTTAGCGAACAAAACGGAACTATCGCCGCTTTAAAGAAACTCCACCAAGAAAGCAATTACCTGCAAACCAATGGGTATGTGACCAGAAAGTCTTCGCTGCTGTGTTGTGTTGAATGCTCCGTCATTAATAAAGTTGTTCCCACATAGATTTCTAGCTTTTTGTAATACGTTACCTATGGTTTTACTGATCTACAGTGAATTTTTTATGTTGTAAGCAAATACTTAACTAACCGTATTACTGATAGAACCTGTGGACGTACTATGCACATGTATCTGTATACAGTATCTGTCTTTAAATCACGTAACTGTGTCATAGTTTGCGTTTTTTTCTTTATTCTGGTTTAGAAACGAATTTCAAACAACTTATTCTTCAATTGTAAGTTAAATTTCCCTATACATACTAACGAAGCAATTAAATTTGAAGCGTGACTTGTTGGAGCGCTCTCTTCCTCTTTTTACAAACTGAACAACTCCGAACTTCTTTTATGTCATTTATATTAAATGACGTAAAAGCGCTGTGGAGGAAGCTGGGTTTATTTCGGTTAGATGAATTAATTTCGTTAGATATTTGATTCACTAAATGGTAAAAAATGATAGATATTCTTTCTATGGATATCGGATTTACATTTATTCAAGTTTGTAGGCAACTAAAGTAAATAATGGAAAGTACTTATGTTGTTATGCTAAATTAATTTGAAAATTTCAAACGACAAAAGACAATATGACTGCAAA